ATTACTAACAACTATTTCCCAAATTGCAGAAAACTGTGGTGGAGCAGGGGCTGAGTCCAGAGGTAAAAATCCAAAGCCTGAGATACAGAAGTTGGATCCCACTGTGTTGCCTCATACTGGAATTTACCCCCCAATCTGGCTCTTTATTTGCTTTAAAATGAAACAAATCTGGTAAAATGTAAGACTGTAGAAGTCTGTTAAATTGTCATTTAAATATGAACATTCATTAATCTTTTCACTCCACAAATCCCAGACTCTAAAGAAATTTATGTCCTGCTCTTACATCCTTGTTATCTCCACTGTTAAACTAATTTGTGTCTTTTACTCAGTACGTGGTCATGGGAATGTATTTTCCCAGGATAAAAATTGTGACTGAATGGGCTCCCAGAGGGAAAATTTTGGAACAGCTGGACACAGAATAAATCCAGCCCTATCCTGAATTCTGTTTATCTGGAAACCAGGTCCCAGCAGTTAGGCTGGAGCAGGAATGAAAATGAGGAAGGTAAAAGTTCCTCGTGGCTCAGAGGCTTCCACCTAAAGAAGTTCCTAGAACAGATCACCTTGACTGAGAAAGAGAAAAATGAGAAAACAAAGATCAAATTGAGAAAACAAAGGCAAACTCTGAGGTTTCCTCATGATGTCAGAAAATCCAGATTTGTGGATATTTGCTGCCTTCCAGCCTCAGAGGATATTCCCACCCTCTGCTTTGGTTTGTTGGGATATTTAATGGGCTGTGCCTGTGCACCAAACCTAAGACACCAAATTCTTCATGCAGCCCTAGGAGTGATTCAAAACCCTGCAAGTCAGAGGTCTAAACTCCATCCCTGCATTCCCTGGGACTCAGTTTGTCCCAGATAATTTCTGCCACGGAATTACTGAGCAGGAATTACAGGAGCAGCTGGAGAGCAGGACTTTCCCACATGGGTGCTTTTCCTCAGCTCAAAGCTGGCAAAGCACGAGAGCCACAGCAGCTCCTGCCACATACCAGAGCAGAGAACATAATTTGCAAATTGCTGCAAATGACTCCTGGAGAAAATGCTGAGGTGGCTGGACAGGCTGGACAGTCGAGTCTGTGGGATGGAGCAACCCCATGGAAATATGGGGAAGGGAAAATGAGCAGAGCCTGAGCTCAGATTCTGGAAGACAGAAAATAAAATATTGGTATGGAATAGGAAAAAACAGATCTTACACTCAGGGAAGATTAGGGTGCAAAACTCTGCACTGGAAAGGTACTTAAATACCACGGGTGTATCTTTACATCTGATGAATTTACATGTGGAGGACAAGGAAGGGTTTTCCTGAGGTCTTACAAAACATTTTCTTCGTTCTAAGCCAAGAGGTGATGAAACCCCAGCCTGGAAATCAGACAGTGGGATCTCTGCAAAAGAAAATGGCAGTGCTGGAATAAAGCTGGCTGGGGTTAAAGCACGGCACCATTGTCAGCTGTGCTGCACCTGAGGGGGTTTGGGTACTCAGAGATGTTCTCTTCGAAGCTTTCATTATGAAATGTTCAATTTTTGCTCCCTCTTGTGTAATTAATGTCTCGTTTGGTCATCAGGAGTGTCCGAGGGCAGCTTGGATGGAGCTCTGAGCAACCTGGCACAGTGGGAGCTGTCCCTGCCCATGGCAGGGGTGGGATGGGATCTCTGAGGTTCCTTCCAATCCAAACCATTCCATGATTATTGATCAATTGGGATGGAAAACAGCCATTCCCTCAGAAGATAAAAGCTTAAAAGCATCTCTTAGGGACGCTGCTAAGCACTGAGTTTGTGGGGTGCAAAATTCAGGCTTTTTAAATGAAGGCATTAATTCCCCCAGGCCTTTTATTTTTGGTTCAGTAATACCTGTGTTAGAGAACCAAGATAATGAATCCCCCTAAAATATAAAATGTTATTATTTAATTATTAAACATAAAATTTATTATAAAATATAAACTGTGTGTGTCCAAATAGCTTCCACCAGCTGTAAATGAGAAACAAGGAACGCAATGTGCTCTTTTATTTTGCAGCTGATCAAGACCAGAACAGAATTTTTCTTATGGTTCTTCAGCATCTCTGATTTCTGATTGTTTTCCTTTGGCTTTTAGTTCAGATATCCTTGGGTGCCCCAAATTCCAATTTTTCCCACATATGGCAGTGGAGGGAGAAAGAAAGGGAACAATCCAAAAACCTTCAAATATTCACATACAACCTATGGGATAAATCACAGGGTTTCTGTTTAGGAACAAACAGGGTGGTTTGGTTTCTGTTGTCTGTCTTGTAACCACTTCACCATTCACATTCTCTGACTGTTTCAATGACACTTCAACCCCTAGGCCCTGCCCAAATTCCTTAATTCCATTTAGTGTCTCCTGTGTCCTTCAGGCAACCTTCTCTCACTGCCACCCCCTGTGTCCCCTGCCTTGGGGTGAGGGAGGGCAGGACACGCTCTGCTGGACCTGACTCTGCTCTTCCACAGGAAGCCTCACTTGTTTCATTTTTGGGTCATATTTTTTGGAGGTTCTGCTGGTTTTGATGTTGTGTTGGTGTCATGGGTGATCTCTGAGGCCTTTTCCAACCTGAGATGCTCTTGACACATCCAAAATCCACAAGAATTTGTTATTTCTACCCTGACACACAGCATTGTGGATTCCTCTGGGATTACCACTGCTGAGTCTCTGCATGTTGTCATTCACAAAAAATAACTCACAAACAGTCTGCTGGGTGATGAACGAGCCTTGTTGCCCAATCCTTTGAGGTCTGCATGAAACATGACTTGAAAATGTTGAGGAAATGGTGATTTCTGCTGGGATCTGCCCAAACACAGTGATTAAAACATGGCTTAAGTACAGACCTGCAAATACACATGGGAGGCAGCTGGCAGGCCTTTAGGGGCCAGGGTAAAGACTCTTCAGGAAAAATCACTTGGAAAGGTCCCAGAGAGCATCCAAAGGAGGGACACGGGGATGGGAAGAGTCTGGAGGGGCCATGGAGGAGCAGCTGAGGGCGCTGGGATTGTTCAGCTGGAGGAAGCCAAGGGGGGATTTTTCAGGGTTTGCAGCTCCTGGGACAAGGACAGCAGCCAGGGAAGGGCTGGAGCTGGGCCAGGGGAGGTTTGGCTTGGATTTTGGGAAAGGTTCTTCCCCCAGAGGGTGCTGGCACTGCCCAGGCTCCCCAGGGAATGGTCCCGGCCCCGAGGCTGCCAGAGCTCCAGGAGAGCTTGGACAGCGCTC